ACAAGGGACGAAAACATTATAATGTAGACACCTCATTCACACATGATAACCTTACCGCTTTTTCTTGACTCTAAACACAGACTTTAGATCTTCACATGTTAGCTGTCTGAGGAATCCGTGCGCATAAGCCAGGTAAGAAAACGCAGCTGTGGCGGTGACCGCGGTCATACAGAACACGGTGAACCAGGCAATGTTAGGGGGATACTCGAAGAAAGTGGCGTACCTCTCCGTCGTGGACGTGGTTGGTACAGTGGTGGTTGCATATACAACGACATTTATATCGGCGGTATCTGTGGACGGCAAAGAATATGCTTTAGACGTACTTATTCCGTCTTTTCGTATTGCAGAGTTATCTGCCCTTGTGAGCAGGTATTGATTGTTACGTCACTTGTTTGTGAGAGTAACGTCATCAATTTTTGAGAAAACTACGTAATTTTCTCACACAAACCAATGACGTCACAATCAATGCCTGCTCACAAGAGAAGCTAACTCTTCAATACGCAAAGACGGAATATTGGCACGTGTATATTTCCACGTACGACAACAAAGTTATGATTTAGCACTAAAATTACCTACACACAGAAATATAACTATCATATAGCTAACGGTAATCATAAAGGAGCACTCCAAAAGTGCTGTGATAAGTATGTGTACAATAGTGTTTTAATAATTAACCCTGACTCTGTTAATCAGAGTATCGTCCTTAAGAAAAGGTCTATAATCATAATATTAATTTGTTTTACTGATTTCTGATACCACACTGTTATATGAATCTAATTTAGATGTCTATTATGAATTTTGTATTTTAGAGTGGTTAATCATACACGTAACCTTAGATAAAAAGCATTCTGTTTTTTTTGATAATGCAAACATTATTGTTTAAATGACTTAGAGAGATATCCCCAATTCAAATTATCAAATGTGTAAAAACATCCTCCGTTAATTCCGAAATAAATGTTTTATTTTTTGTAAATTGAATTCACGTGATGTGAGTTGTATAATAAATATCACATGCATGTTTTTTTCTGAAGGATTGTTTATTGGTCGATATAGCTGTAAATAACTTACATATTACATCACCCGGATATTACCTGTCAGGCCACCGTAGTCGGTCACATTGGCAGAAAATGAAAAATATGTCCCATCTCCAAATGACGTAAGAAATCTGTTAATGTATAGGTTCCCTGTCCCGGTTACCCCGAAGTACGATTCGTTGAGGGAGGTTTGGTCCAGCGTATAGCTAATCGCCCCTAAAACAAAAATGACAGCTCGTCAGTGACATTCACAATAACAGTTAACACCAGTAAAGATCTGGAGACCACTTCTGTTATGAGAGGAACTGTGTTAAGATACCACTTCTAAAACTCCGTTACAATTATATTCCAGGCTAAATGAGTCTGTATAATATGTCCGCCTCCAGTAAGAGACCATTGTATGTACTTCATAATGTGGTCTCTGGATAGAGATTCAAATATATAAATTTGAGGAATGCCTTGTGACTAATAAACTTGCATGTATTAACATATACTATTTGTCCTGTTTACCCAAAATATGCTAATCTTCATGACGTATACCAAGATCACCCTGTTGAAGTCTATGTAGCGGTATGGTCTCCTCACCAGATTGACAGTAATAGAGACCTGCCTATATAGCATGTTCATTAAATTTATTATTGTTGTCTCCAATCTCTATTAATCCATTGCGCTTAGATGATATTGGGAAGATCCCCCACCCCCACTCACTGCATGATTCCAAGTGGTGCCTTTTAAGACAACCGTCCACAAATGCGTTGCGACTTGATCAATTCCCAGACAAAATAAATATCTTCCGAATAGTCTTCATAGACCAGTTTGACACATTTATTTCTTAAATATTTAGGAGTAATTACTGTCCTTAAAGCAAAGACTTACCATTAATACCCAGGTCCCCGTCCGTAGCCGCTATACTCCCAATCGTATCGCCAACGTTACCGTAAATGGTCGTGTATAATGTATATGATGCATGGGCGAACGACGGAATATGGTCGTTGACGTCATTAATTGTGACTATGAGTTGTGTCGTATCAGTCAGCTCGCCGTCCGATACAGTGGCAATACAGGTCAAAACTGACGCCGTACCGACAACGTCAAGGTCGTACGTTCCACTCAAGGTCACCGCGCCTGTAGTGGAATCCATTGCAATGGCGGGACAGTCGACAGTGTAGGATTGACTGGCGCTGACATCCGGATCAGTCACCACAAATCCTGGGCTACTAAAGCTCTCCCCAGCCTGTTACAAACACGTACAAATTTGATACATTATCTGTTATGATACATTGTAAGCTCTCACTGATAATTGTAAATTCATGTTGATAATAGTTTATTCTCATTAATACAGTGTAAGTTCTCATTAATACAGTGTAAGTTTTCATTAGTACAGTGTAAGTTTTCATTAATACGGTGTAAGTTCTCATCAATACAGTGTTAAGTTCTCATTAATACAGTGTAATTTGTCATTAGCACATTGTAAGTTCTCATTAATACAGTAAAAGTTCTCATTAATACAGTTAAAGATCTCATTAATACAGTGTAAGTTCTCATTAATACAGTGTAAGTTCTCATCAATACAGTTTAAGTTCTCATAAATACAGTGTAATATATCATTAATACAGTGTAAGTTGACTGCAGAATATGGGTCGGTTCATTTGACTGCGGTATATATAGGTCGGTTCATTTGACTGCGGGATAAACCAGTCGGTTCATTTGACTGCGGGATAAATGGATCAGCTTATTTGACTGCGATTGATTTATATATTTTTTTCTTACATTTCCTTCATTTCCGCTGACATAGTAGATCGTACTCCCAAATACTGGAGCTTCGTTAACTTCTATGACGTTAACAGTGAACGTGGAGTAAGTGTCTGTATCTGTGCCATCAGTCACTGTCACATCCACAGTAAAACTTTTACTCGTCAAACTCTCGTAGTCTACAATGGTGGACGACGACGTGGATAGCAAGCCAGCTGAAAGGCAACAAAAATTATTAAGGATGTAGAGACAGCGGAACAGCTATAAGTAACTATGAAACTTTAAAATAATTTAACCTCGCACTCTCGAGTTTGCACTAGCGATTTAATGGTAACCGCGTTCTTGAATCGAATGTTATAGCTCTTTATCTTTGGTTAAAATGCCTACTCGTCAATTCCCATGACGTAATACAAATGCAAAATTACGTTTTTTCAGTTAATATAACAATGACTGTTGACCGATAGCAACGTTATTTGCATATTTACGTATTATATAATAATAATAATGATAATATACAACATTTATATAGCGCCCTATATAATTTGTAAAATTACTCTAAAGCGCTTTACAACATATGGATAATAGTAATGGTTATAATTGTGAAAACCAAAAAATAACAAAGGCTTGCATTCACTTTTATACATTTTAGCAAGCAATGTGCACATAATTGAACAAATAAAAGGGTGGTATTTACATAACATCTTTGCAACGTAGCCGAAACCCTTCCAAAGCATCTGTTTCCGTAGGTCACGATACGAGGTTTTGGGACACACAACAAAGATTCTGACTCCGACCACAGTGATCGTGACGGCTGATACAGGGTAACAAGCTCCTGTATGTACTGAGGAGCTGTTCCATTCAGTGCCTTGTATGTGTACACCAGAATTTTGTACTGCGACCTGTATCGTACAGGTAACCAGTGCAACGAATAGAGCACAGGTGTGATGTGCTCTCTCTTTCGAGTACGAGTAGCTAGCCGTGCTGCAGTGTTCTGGACCCGCTGCAGACGGCTAGTTAGTTTGTCAGATATACCACAGAGCAGGGCGTTACCATAATTCAACTGAGAGGTAACAAGTGAATGCACCAAAATCTTGAATGCATCTGCATTTAAAAACTGCCGAATACAGCCGATGTTCCTGATCTGGTAGTAACAGGATTTGGCAGTAGCGTTCACTTGTTTCTCCATGTTCAGTGAACTATCAAAGTATACCCCTAGGTTTTTAACAGCTGGAACAGTCTCAATAGTTCTGGCACCGACCTTGAGCTGGAGAGCCATTGTTTGCTGACACTTTGGGGAAAAGACGATTAGTTCCGTCTTTTCCTGATTAAGCTTAAGCATGTTGGCGTTCATCCAGATACTGACATATGTCAGACAAGCTTCCAGACTTTCTGAGACGGTATTCCAACTGTCCTGTGGTTTGATGACCACGTAAATGTGTGTGTCATCGGCATAGCAATGATAGCGAAGGCTATGGCGACGACAAATCTCTCCGAGTACATACAATATTTTCGAGGTCCTAACACCGACCCTTGAGGAACCCCGAAATCTAGTACTTTGTCATGTGAGGTGGAAGATCCGATGGCAACACACTGTCGTCGTTCACTCAGGTAAGACTGTATCCAGCATAGTGCGGTATCAGTCACTCCATAAGAGTATCCCAGACGTTTATAAAGTATGCCATGGTCGATGACGTCAAATGCAGCTGACAAGTCCAGCATGACAAGCACAGCTCTGCACTTGTTATCCAATGCAGAAGCTATATCATTATGGTCAGGAGCCTACGGGAGCAAGCCTTATCAGGCGCTAACCTGGGCAAAGAAGTAATAACGACAGTGCAGACAAAGAAATTTATCTTTTTTTAGGGCGATCTGCCCCTTTATCAAGACAGGAACATGAAAATTTACATATCACAACATAGAATAGATAAAAAAAAAAAAAAAATGTATAAATATAATTATATATTATATATACATATACATATCATGACGTCATCACTTTCTGTGTTGTGTTGTTGTCTTGCCAACATAAATAAACAGGTCCCCTGATGAATCTCTAAAGAGGTGAAGGCGCTAGGGAAACTCTTGTCATTTGTTTATATATATATATATATATATATATAGCAGAACTATTGTTGGCAAAAGTTTCAATATGGAAGTTGAAATTTATTACAAGACGATTGTTGACAAAACCGTTCAGCAATTACCAAGCTAGAAATATCACATTTACTGCCATTACAGTAAGGTGGTATGGGAAGAATTATCACACACTATACTGAACTAAACCGTCATTCGAACTCCAAACCTATGAGCAATGGGCAGAATAAGAACACAGACAGTTTTGCATCAATATATACAATTGATAGTCAATCTATCAAGCAAGAAGTAAACATGCAAAGATTTATGATTGTTGGCAACAGTACACAGATATCATAGATGATACAGCAGTACATAGCGATTATAGATACAGCAGTAAACAGCGATTATAGATACAGCAGTAAAAAAGAGATAACAACAAAGTATTGAGTCTAATAGCATCATGACATTATTTAGAATATAGTCTTAATGTTAACCACATTTAATTGTTTTCATCAAAAGTATACAAGCAACTAGGCAATGTAGACAAAAGTTCTATAATTAATAAATGGGTGTACATTTGAAGATAGAGTAAAAAAAAAAAAAAAAAAAAAAAAAAAAAAAAAAACAATGACAACTTACTAGAAGTATCAAACGAAAAAACGGTAGCTCCTTCAGCAGCAGGCGTGTAGACAACACTGTATGTAAGCGTGTCTGGATCCGGATCAGCAGCAGTGATCTTATACAGAGAGGCGCTTAACGCACTGTTCTCCAATAACGGCATCGTGAATGTGAGTGGAGTATTCTGTATGACGGGGGCAGTATTGATACCTACGGAAAAAGTCAGTAACATATTATGCATTGTTTAAGAATCCCTGTCCCACAACAGGCAAAACACTACAGAATTCCACTGTGTTTTTTCCGTACATCAGTAGCCTCCACTTAATACCGTTTTACTGAATTAAAGTCCATCGGTTGATCAAGTAACTCAGTTAGGTAGAGCGCCAGTGTAATGACCAGATCTCGAGGGTTTGAATTGTGATCTGGCTCCGTCGTATTGTGACACTCAGAACATAATTGTGGATTCGTTGAATAATTCGCCCTCGTTAAACATGATTAACTTAGGAAAAACAAAGGATTGTGTTTCCATTCAGCAAGAGCAATACATGTATAATGTTACCCTGATCTAAGAGGATCTCATTCCAGACCTTGTTACAATGTTACATCAGTGCTAACTGTTCTCATGATCACGTTGTGAACCTTCCATTTAGTCTAGTCATTCTATGGTTTTACCTCAAACAAATTGCAACAGAAAATATTTTTAGTTGAGAATATATAAGAGACGTGTTTAAACAACATATAAAAAATCTAGAAAATTCTAACGATGGGAAATATTCAAATTTTGTGATGAAAAATTGTTAAATTAGCAAACGAATGTATGGCCTGTACGGGCAACCGTCACACGAAAGAGTTCCTAAGGGGAGGTAATACACGAATTATGGTGGAATGAGATAAACAGAAGAACGCCGGTATTTTCAGCGTACATCTTTTTCCGTGAATTTTTTGACTACTAATGGTAAGTGAACTAATATATATATCATATATAGATGCTTATGTATGATGAAAACATGAAAATTTTGATCCGTTACGAATTAACATTTTCCGTCGTCTGCTACGTCATTGCTCGGCAGTATACAGTCATATTCATAAATATGTCAGAGCAGTGTAAGAATCGTTTGGTATTTGAATATTTGCTGATTTCAAACTTCTGTGAAGGCAGTGTTCACCTGAATTTATAGAAAATGTTTTGTTTTACACATAAGATAAAATATTTGCCTGTCTATTGAACCGCAATTTGACCGAGAAAAAAAACTACGGAAGCCCATACCTGCAATATAACGATAAAATTGAAAAATCGCGGTTTTTATTTTTTGTATTAAAAACATGAAAACCGCTTGTTCTACGTGATTTTTTCATGATATAATGAATTCAAATTTGTGATATCATTTGATAATTTATATAGTACAGGTGGTCTTTTTCCTAAAAAAGACAGCGTTCGCTTCTGAGTCGGGAGGGGGGGGTTCAATCCCGGACGCGTACAATGTTATACCAAAGACGTAAATTTGGTAGTTGTGGCATCCCCGCAAAGCTGTTGGCATTAAGGGGATAGCGCAACGACTAGCCTGACTTGAATCAGTATAATGTGTCTGGGTAGGGTACATGCGTCACTGTACTTACAGTGAGCTGGCACTATAAAGACGGCCTGAAATCGCGCCATGACAAGCAGTCCAAAGCACATATATACTACATGTACCATGCATCAATAATACCGTCGGCATATGAGCCTGGTTGTTAAGAAAACGTTAAACCCTAGTTCTCGAGTTCTCGCTCACTCACTCCTAAAATAGATAAAGTTTTTAATAAGAAGCATTGCATGTATCCATAAAATGTAATATCATTAAATCGATTGTATGATATCAGTGAATCTATTATATGATATCAGTGAATCTATTGTTTAATATCAGTGAATCGATTGTATGATATCAGTGAATCGATTGTATGATATCAGTGAATCAATTGTATGATATCAGTGAATCGATTTAAATCAGAAAATATAATTGATGATATTTTGAAAAACTATTTAATGATATAATATTTCATGAATACGTACAATGGTTCTCATGATTTTTTTTATCCATTTTAGGAAACCTGCTCTATATGTCAAGTACCAATTGACGATGACCAGACCACAAATGTTCTTGGTGGGAAAGGGAGCAGCGGGATAAATAGTGCCAGTGATAAACGTGGTGATAATATAATTACCTCTCCCGGGGACAGAGTGCATATCGAATGCAGACGTCTTTACTGTAACGCAAATGTTATAAAACGTGATGCCAAAAATTCGAAGGACGATATCACAAATGATTCTCCTCAGGGGTGTTCCCTTCGCTCGATGGAAGAGACAGTGTTCCGGTTTTCTGACCATTGCTTCTTCTGTGGAAGGATGGCTAAACATTCTGATAAGAAAAGAGGTCAAGATGTTTATCCTGTGAGAACTCTGGAATTACAGAAGACAGTGGAGCAAGTGTGTGAGCACAGAAAAGACCAATGGGCAAATGATGTGAAAGGACGCCTCGAATTTATCAGAGACTTACCCGCTGCTGATGCTGTATACCATCAGCTGTGTAGCGTGAATTTCCGTACACATAAACATATCCCAGTAGCATTTACTCCAACCAAGCAGCAGAGAAAATCTTGTGGAAGACCAAAGAATGATCGCCAAGCTGACGCTTTCCTGACGGTTGTGAAGTGCCTGCATGAACATTCAGCAGATTTACTGTCTATTTGCGACCTCGTGGAAAGGATGAGAGCCATTGTTGGAGAAGATGCATATAGTACAGTTTACATGAAATCTAAACTAAAGGAACACTTTGGACCTTCGGTCATAATCACAGAAATCAACGGTAGTGCAAACATTGTAACCTTCAAAGAAACTGCATCATACATACTCAGAGATTTTTACCAGCTTCCAAAAAACAAAGATACCGAGTGTGAGAAACAGAATGTAATTGAAACCGCGGCAAAATTAATTATGAATGACATCAAGGAAATCAATGCATCGAAAGAAACATATCCTTCGACACCAGATGTTTCATCTACCAATGCTAATGTTGAATTTGTTCCTAAAAGCTTGCAGCAATTTTTGCGATGCTTATTCAGCGAAAATGAAGCTGAATTAAAGATAGCAGCGATAGGGCAAGCAATCATTCAAGCCTCTCGACCAAGACTTCTCATCGCTCCACTCCAGCTTGGTTTAGGGGTTCAAACACATCACCAGTTTGCATCGAAGTTTCTGGTAGACACGCTTCACAGCCTTGGGTTTTGTGTATCTTATAGGGAGGTACAGAAGTTTGAAGCTAATGCTGCTCAATCTCAAGGATTTGATATTGATGGAATCACCAATGACCATGTGATTCAGTACATCGCCGACAACGTCGATCACAACCTCAGAACATTAGATGGCCATAATACTTTCCATGGAATGGGAATCATCGCTGGCATTACTCCGAGCACGACGACTAGACGCAGACCTGTTCCTAGAAAGGACATATCTTTGGATGAGGTTGCAGCTATATGTAAAATCAACATTGACTTTTTCAAGCTTCATTCCAATCCTCTTGATATGATGACATACAAGAAACTTACCAGGCTAGAGGGGTGTGATGGTTGTTGGAAGATTGATTTTCTGTCGTCCATTGTTTGGCCACTGAGACCCACTCGCCCAGGATGGTCTGCAACAATGCAGGCTGTTAATCAAGGCATGTTTCCTGGCCAGTCTTCTGTTGTGTTCTTGCCAATGATAGACATGAATCCAGGGGATCTTTCTTGCATATACTCAACCATGCGCTTTGTAAGTAGAGAAGCAGCAAAATATGGGTCTCACCCGATACTGACATTTGATCAGCCGCTCTATTGGAAGGCCTTGATGATTGTTGCGAGTGAACCGTCTGACAGTGAACTCAAAAAGATTGTCCTTCGGCTCGGCGGATTTCATATGGAAATGAGCTTCCTTGGAAGCATTGGCGAACTAATGAGAGGATCAGGCCTGCAACATGTACTGGAAACTGTTTATGCACCAACGACTGTTTCTCATATGATGACCGGTAAAGCTGTGGCAAGAGCAGTGAGAGGGCATTTTCTTGTAGACGCTGCATTGCATGCAATTTTACTGTCCAGTATGTACGACATAGTCTTGCCGTCTTCAACAGAGGAAAGTCAACTTCATATTGAGCCAACCAGTTTTGAGGAGGGAACAATACTAGATGAACAACTTCAGCACGCCAGCGGATCGTCAGAATTGCATGAAAACGACCTGGATGTTGCTTCACAACTCTACGATGTGATGCTGTCAGGAGAAATATCATTAGACGAGGTTATACATTCAGATCTGTTAGACAAAATTCAAGAAAAATTGAAAGCAAGGATGGATTCAATTTCCTGCAATCGAACAGCCAAGTTGTGGATCCAGTACATGGAAATGATTTCTATTCTCAAACGTTTCATCAAGGCAGAACGAACTGGAAATTGGAACCTTCATTTAGTTTCCGTGCAGCAGATGCTGCCCTACCTCGCTGCAGCAGGACACAATCTATACACAAAATCGGCCTACGCGTATTTGCAAAATATGCTCACACTTGAGAAGGATAATCCTAAAGTGTTCAATGCCTTCCAAACGGGCCATCATGTTATACGAAGAAGCGATAGGTTTTGGGCAGGTCTATCAACTGACCTTGTCATTGAACAAGTTCTTATGAGAAGCGTGAAATCAACTGGAGGCTTGACGAGGGGTCGTGGCATGAGTGAAACTCAGAGAGCAGTATGGCTACTTTCAATGCCGGCTTGCGCGGATATGAACAATGCGATGCAAGAGCTGTGTAACGTGAGCTATGCTACAAATGACCAACACAAAGAAAGTGGGAAATCAAGAAAGGAAAAAGACGGGAAAGATACAGAAACCATCCTTGCCTTTCTGCTTGAAAGAAATCCATTTGAGGGAGATGCTTCTCTCAGAAATATAGAAACTGGAGAAACTGATGATGGAAAGGCAAACACAGAAAATGCTAGGTCAATTGGAGAAGCAATTGTAAAGTCAATGGAGGGACAGAACATGGCTAACTATGTGTTTAAGAAAGCAAACAAAGCTGTTACGTTGAGTGCGAAACCTGCAACTTTGAGAATAGAAAATGATGATGTCCAAGTTGACCCACAGCTGTTATTTCAAAGGCTAATGGCAGCAGCAAATGGATTACCAGAGGACGTATCTACTGTCTTCTCATATGAACTTGCCACCCGTCCATCTTCGTTATTTGAACCGTCAGGTCTAATGAGGGCTGCACAAAAATCAGTTCTTGCAGATGCAATTTGGAGTTTCGGAGATTGCACCTCTCCCGTACCAGAAGATGTACATTACGTGCTTGACGGGGGATCCTTACTGCATCGTTTACCTTGGAATAGGGGATTCTCATTCGGTTCCATATGTGCCAAGTATGTAGATTACGTTACAAAGAAATATGACAAACCATCCATCGTATTTGATGGGTATTCTTCCGGTCCGTCAACAAAGGATGCAGCCCACCTCAGGCGCAACGGGGGTTCGACAGGAGCTCGATTTGACTTTACAGAAAATACCACTTTCCGGTCTAAAAAGGAACACTTCCTATCAAACCAAGTCAACAAACAAGCCTTCATCTACATGCTAGCAGAGGCAATGGAAGAAAACGGCTGTAGAACCATTCACGCTCCAAGTGATGCCGATGTCCTCATTGTGAATGAAGCTACAGAAAATGCACTGAACAGAATCACTGTTGTGATTGGAGAAGATACAGACCTTCTCATTCTTCTTCTATTCCATACCAGTTTGGAATTTCACAACATCTTCTTCCACTCTGTAGAATCATGTTCAAGAAAAATGAAGGTATGGGATATACAAAAAACGAAACACATGCTAGGATCAGAAACATGCTACCATCTTCCATTTCTTCATGCAGTTACGGGCTGTGATACAACCTCACGCATCTTTGGGATTGGGAAAGCTGCAGCACTGAAGAAAGAACAAAATGATTCAGATTTCAAGGATCTAGCTGGAGTCTTTGCCGATGATTCTGCCTCTGGAAAAGACGTTATTGCAGCCGGGGAAAAGGCCATTGTTTCTCTTTACAATGGCAATCCAGAAGAAGGACTTAACATTCTAAGATATAAGAAATTTGTTGATAAAGTTTTCGTTGGAAAATCGTGCGTGCAAGTGCAATCGCTACCCCCAACTTCGGCTGCAGCAGAATACCACAGCAGAAGAGTTTATCTCCAAACCCAAATATGGATGGGAAATGGCGACACAATTCCTCAACAGGAATGGGGATGGTATCTCGACAATGGAAAGCTTCTTCCCATCAAGACACATTCCCCTCCTGCTCCGGAACACCTGATTAAAATTATTCGCTGCAACTGCAAAACTAACTGTGACTCGAAACGATGTACATGCAGAAAGCATGGTTTGGAATGTTCACAGGCATGTGGAGAGTGCAAAGGATTGAGTTGTTCCAATGCAGAAGCAGTCCTTGACGCTGATTGTCATATTGGAAATGAGTGCTTATAGTGTTTTCAAGACATATTTTCAGCAACTAGTGCCATTGCTCGGTTTGGATGACTTTTGAAATAATTTTTACCTCTCAAAGTGAAACCTGGATGTCAATATTCCCATCAACATTGTGTAAAACTTGAACATGTCGGACAAAATCAGCCATTTTTATTCCATATTGTTATGGGCATATACTTATTTATGCAATAATACGCTTTTGTGAACAAAAAATAAACTCTCAAGTCATAAAATAGTTTAATTTTATGTCTATTTTGATCGTGTAAGCTTAAAGCTAGTCTCCGACAAAACGAAAAAAAAGTTGGCAAGGGGAGATAATTAAACCGGAAGTAAACAATTTTTCCCACATTATAATTTTCTAGATTTTTTTTCTGGTGATGTCCATATGTTATTAATTCAGAAAAACACCAAAACTTTTCTGTTGCAATTTGTTTGAGGTTTTGCCATATTTCAGCTAGAATGACTAGACTAATTGTCGAAACAGTTCATATGAAACATGAGGATTTGTCTGATGGTTTATTGTTGGTAAATACATGTATGTCAAGTGACATGATGCGCATCTATACTGCCTAGCTAATATAACTTACCGGATATCATGACGGTCAGCGTTCGTGGTCCTACTGTATTTGTACCATCAGTTATAGTGACATACACGTCATATCCGACTCTGGTCAGTGTGGCTAGATTAGTATTTGTCTGAATTTCACCCGTCCCTAAAATTGATATACAACCGAAGGTATACATAGGGACTAACAGAAACTTTGGTTTATATCAAGAAATATATACTGGGGGCAAAACAGAAATCCTTGTTTATGTAATGAAATGCAAACAGGGGGCCAACCAGACATCCCGGTTAAAATCATGAAACAAAACAGGGGGCCAAACAGACAACCTGGTTTATATCATATAATGTATACAAGTGGTCCAGCAGAAAGTTAATATCATGAAATGTACTTTTTGCATTCTGTTTTAAACAGGTTTTTTTATTATCACGACTCCTACCAAAGATATATATTATGTTTCAGAATTTGTAGAGGGTTACTAATATTATGCGTTTTATAATGTCGGATGAACCTTTCGCCTATCCTCTCCCTTTTAAGCCAGAAAAAATCAACTGTTCTCCCACCCTTCACATGTGTGTCTCCCGTTTTAGCCATCAGCTTGTCACCTCCTTGTGGGAGATGGTCTTGTGCCGATTAGCACGTGTTCAATCGTGACGTCTTTAACATGTGTCACCAATAATTGTGACGTCATCAAAAGTGAATGACGATAATTATACCCCACATGTGTTTTTGTTTACCAACATGGCAGGCTACTGTCGGTGGAGTGGTGACTCAAGTGAATGGATGGGAGAAAAATAATCATCCCCTACCTTCAGAATGCAACAGAGAAATATCCGACCCTCAGGGTGATTTTCTGAGAGAAAGTCGCGGATTAGACAACCATAAAACATCACCCCTCGGGTAGGAGATTTCTCTGTCAACTCATTAAGGTAGAGGAAGATTGCATTAGTCAACCTAGGAATGATACTCTTGAATGTTTTACCCTCGGTAAAACCTTGGTAAGACAATCAAGAATATCATTCCTCGGGTTGGTGATTTCTCTGTCACACCCTCAAGATAGGGAAATATTATATTAATTACGTGCCAGTGATTTATAAAGTTAATCATGATCTACCTATCACGTACCTGTGTTTATCGTAAATGGACAGGTCCCTGTAGAGCACGTGAGGCTGTTGAACGTAACGGTGTCTGTGACGTCGATGTCGGAGGCTGTTACGGTAAACAGACTGGTTCCAGTAAGTGTGGTACTTGGGATAGTTGTTGTAGCTGTCAATACACCAACACAACTGATATAAACACATCCATCATAACAACTATTATCGCCACATTATTACTATTGAAGAAGAAATCATGTAGTTTCTGTTTTTAATCCTATTATTTTAGCTAAAATTTATTTTTATCATATTTTCATGTGAAATTATTCAGAAATGTTGAAATTGAAACTGGAAAATGGTGGGGTTCTTTGTGGGGATTTCTTATTGCACTATTGTCTTCAGTTTCACGTTTACATCGTGCAAACTCAAGTGAAATAATTGGTGCACGATGAAGTAAACGTGTGATACTATATTTGATATTTACACTCACATAAAGTTTGTTACTTACAGTACAAATACGTGATGGTAGTTTGGTGACTGACACATGGCAACGTTACTTGTAGGTGTGTGACTTAAAGTATATACAAACAGTGTCACTAGTAAGCCTAACCACTACGTGATTGACGGGTTCTTTACTAACATAAAAATTCCACATATACCTGGCAGGTTCGTTAGTGTTGGAGAGGTGTTGGCAGTAACATACACGTAGAAAGTTCCGCTGTCTGAGGAGCCATAGGAGTCCGTACAAGTGGTGTCAAACTGGTACTTTTTTGTTGTTACATAGTTAAACGTAGGATTGGCAATAGAGTATATTCCATGTGCTGAAACAAATAAAAATTGAACAAACCTTAATCCATTATCAGTGATGTCTTACATCGAATAACTTTTGATTTTTGCTGATTTTTTTGTTTGATTTTGATATATGTTTTGTAACAATACCCGATAACTTGTGAACATCCAACAGCATAGCATCTTACTACGTTACTCTCCGCCTGACATAACGTGAATGGCTGAATGTGTTAATTGTAAACTTTCATTAAATATTTAAGTATTTGTAAAGATAATTGATTTTTCAACAATATTTTTCCCTGTCTTTAATGACTTCCCCAACATTTGGCTTTATTGTTCGTATGTGATGCTAAATGTTCTATATAAGGATGTTTGTGTTTTCTTGAACAAAAAAGGCAAAACAACTTGCGGAAAAACAAAAGTATATCCCATGTATAAACTATGCACAATGTTGAATTAAGCTAAGAAAATGATAACGCGGCTTGGGGTAATCAGGTAAAGTTACACAGGTAAAATATTGGGTAGGTAAGGAACTGGCCATTATCCTTCCCTACAACACTCTCTTTTGTGAAGAAAAGGGGAACATCCCGTCATCATCCGAAGGCAAAGTAGATGAAAGTAGGACAGACTATGGATAAAGGAAAGATATACATTGAGAACAAAAATAATAAGACTAGGTCTTCCGAGAGAACAACTGTTTCAGCAAATTTAGTTTGCAAAGTGCGGACGGGAAGCCATCAAGCAACTTTCGACGATGCTGAACCGCATCGCTTGTAATGCTCGTTTGCCAGTAAGGCAATGTTGCATTACTCGTCCTACGAGAAGTCTCGTCCTGCTACTTGACCTTGGAAATTACATGGGTCTTACCAACGCACCTTCGCTACACAACGGGAACCGGCCTTACACGGTACAACTAGGTCACGAGACAGCCACTAAATGTAACGTAAATGCGGTAAGCTATCATGCCACTGACCAAGCATGACGTTGCTTTACTAGTGAGTGCGACCCAGGGTTATACCGCATCGCTGAATAAGCTATCTTGGCAGTAAGGCAGTTCCCTTCATTTTCTTTCGGCTGTTACAATAATTGTTTATTAAAATGAAAATGGAAAAAATCAATAATATATATGATTGGAAGTATAGCAGTATTCTGTGTACTTAATGGTTGGTTAGTGTTTGCATTTAAAAGCACATTATTTTTCTTAACAAAGTAACTAAAGATACGACTTTCGGAAAAAGAATCCTGAAAATATCTCTTGCAGTAGGAAAGAAAAAACATTATCGAGCGACCGATAAACAATTATCTTGTCTCTCGGCCGTTATTATTGTTCAAAATGAAGGAGGTTCCTACTCCTTCACACAATATGTCATAATTTTAATGCAAAAGAAATCATATGTTTTCTTAAAGATTAAACAGAAATTATCTATTGACCCCGTATTCTGGACATGGTTTGAGCAATTCTAGAATTTGTGGAAGTCTACGTTCAAATAGATGTTTCCCCTTTACCAGGAAGAGCATTCAGTGTTACTTAGGAATCTTCTTTTACTACAGTTGGAATACGTTGGTTTATTATCTATTTACAATAAAAACAAAATTTGTTTAAGGATACAAATTCCACAATCAATAGTAGTGCTACATACATTTTACATTCATGAAAAAATAAGATCAGTAACTTCTTTATACAATTAGATCCTTTAAAGAACTTACTTGTTCCTGACACAATACTGGTAGAGAATTTAGGGGCCGCAGCCAAGGTACAGCTGGCAATACTGTCGGTCGGGGAGGCGTCAGATATAGCCAGGCTGTGGTGCAGTGTAAGGGCAGTAAGGTCCTGACTGACCACAGTATAGCTCGGCAGACTGTTGATGTACAGGGGCTGTTTAAAAAATATAAAGATACACAGGCTGAAGGTAAGAAACATAGACATAAATAGAATGAATCAAATTACACCGAATTGAACACACGATTGATAAAACTAGGGCAAATTATTAAGTGAGGAAACATTTTAAGCTCTTGAATAAATTACCAGGAAGATACGACCAGATGTTCAGGTAGTTTCTGCTTTTTCAACGACACCCACCATGTCAACATGTAAAATTTAATCTCACATCACGAACAAGAGAACCGGGTTAGAAACAAAAAAAACAAAGACATTTCAGGATAATTTAAATGTCGATATTTATATTGAACAAAGAAGTATAACACGGCCCTATGAGAAGAAGATGAGGAACATACATTTTTAAATCTTCATCTCTGAAAACGCTGTATTGTGTGTGGTGTATTCGTCTGTATTAAAAAATTATCGCAGAAAGCGTGATACTCCCGTCAATATCGAGTAGCCTGCCACATATAAACACCGTAGTTTGAATTATAGAGGATGTTACTATCGAGAAAGGGAAAGTTAACGATCGGAAAATCGAAATACTCAAGCTAATAATTGAGCTTAGTAGAATTGCCATTCAGAGATCATAATAAGGATGTAATATAAGTACTGAGTGTTTGCAAGGTGAGATGTTATATAGACATTTGGTAACTGAGGGGTTATTACATACCAACGGTGGTTCCATGAGAGACATTTGTCCGGAACTTACCGAATTCCCCACGGTCATTGTCAGACTACCTGAATTTACCGACATCATCACTGTTATTGTTAAGAATCCACAACTTACAGAATGTTCCACTGTTATTTTCAGGACTCCATAATTTAACGAAATCACTGTTATTATCAGGATTCTGGAACTTACCGAATTATTCACTGTTATTGTCAGGATTCTGGAACTTACCGAATTATTCACTGTTATTGTCAGTGTACCCGTACTAGTTTTACCACAGGGATCCTGTACTTGGAACGTCAGAGGGTATGATCCGGCAGCAATTGTACTGATAAGTGCTGTTACTTCAACTGACAAAACAAACATAATATACTTTCTTCAAGATACAGCTACCCCCCAAACCATTAAAAGCACAGTATAACAACTGGATGATAATTACTGTAGTTTCTACATACATGTAGTATTAAAAGGACCAATTGAGGCAAACTTCTTTAAACTGTGTTTTCAAATTTACGGACGAGATATTATAAAATGAAACGATAGGTAACATGTTTCACAGCATTTTACGTTAATATTAGTCCGACGAGCCACGATAATCGAGCACCTCAATATATCTGTCACCCTAATCAACAAGAGGCGATTAGGCTTTCACGGTCACCCGAGTTGTAATACAAAAAAATATCGAAGTATTAACAAAACCACCTCTCGACCTCTTCGTAGAAAGATCCAAATGGTGCTCAATCGTGGTTCGCCTTTGCTACGAAACCTTCCTGCGTCATTTTATTTAAGTCGATAAGTGGTTGTGGAGTATTAAAAAAATGTGAATTGTTTACGGACGGTCGACGTATGACGTAAGACGACAGACGAAATTCGATCGCAGAATGTCAACTTAGACTATGTTACAGACGACCTAAAACATTAAAATATGCAATAGTTTGATAGTATTTAATAGTATTTTAAATATTAACACAGAACGTCTGTGTGTGCTTGTTCAAGTCACGTGCATACGTGAATCATATAATGTCCTCATTGATATTCAAAAATGGCGGAAACACCACCAAAACTCCATATTGCCTACAGCTTACCACCTTATCCTGAATACCACAAATAATCATTTGTCATTTCCGTTTCGTCGAGATAATTTATACGACCCGACAAGCCACCATATCAACTGAGCAAGAACGTTTCCACAAATCAATGTGATTATAAAGAAAAGTGCACTTTATGGGATAATTACTTAAGTACGTAGACTAAATTATCTCGCCCCAAATCAACGTCTAGCAGAAATATACTACCACGAATGTCTACCATGTATTGGCCTCCTGAATTTTCAGTATTAGATAAGACATGTATCCCCACCTCCAAATGACTTGACGTAAACATCATGTTTTAACTAGTTTGCGCAATAATCAAAAAATGAAATATTGTTCCGCTCTTATTTAACAGGTGGCAAAAGTAGGTGATAATATTATTTTCTGTACATCAATGTAGAAGTGTATTATATATATGTTAGGTCTAGTCAGTATATGTTAGGCCTAGTCAGTATATGTTAGGCCTAGTCATTATATGTTAGGCCTAGTCATTATATGTTAGGCCTAGTCAGTATATATTAGGCCTAGTCATTATATGTTAGGCCTAGTCAGTATATGTTAGGCCTAGTCATTATATGTTAGTCCTAGGCAGTATATGTTAGGCCTAGTCAGTATATGTTAGGCCTAGTCAGTATATGTTAGGACTAGTCATTATATGTTAGTACTAGGCAGTATATGTTAGGCATAGTCAGTATATGTTAGTCCTAGTCAGTATATGTTAAGCCTAGTCAGTATTTGTTAGGCCTAGTCATTAAATGTTAGTCCTAGGCAGTATACGTTAGGCCTAGTCAGTATATGTTAGGCCTAGTCATTATATGTTAGGCATTTTCAGTATATGTTACGCCTAGTCAGTATATGTCAGGCCTAGTCAGAATATGTTAGACCTAGTCAGTATATGTTAGGCCTAGTCAGTATATGTTAGGCCTAGTCAGTATATATTACGGAAGTAATAAGATATATCAGTAAGGCGTCTAATTTGATTCGATATACTCGTGTCAGGGAACTACCAGCCAAGGCCCTCATCACGGAGATTATACATGTATGTACATATATGTTCTACAGACTATGTACCTTTTTCATTGTAATATAACGGGCATAACCCAGTATCGTTAATTGGTCATACTATATTCTGTATCGTTTGTGATTATTTAGACCACAACTCAACAAAATACCAGAATACAACAACAATGGGAATGCAAAATGTAGATTAAAGATTAAAAAATAAAAGGCATACGTGTTGTAGTGTCAAATGCGAACTCAGTGGACACTGACGTCATAGTGGTGGTCACTGTGTCGCCGTCATCATCATACACGGTCAGCGTAAACACCAGGAAACCAGTGGACGTGGTGTCGCTGATCGAGGTCGACGTAGGCAGGTTAGTTATTGTCGGGGTAGAACCTGCAGAAATAATAAAAATAGAAACATCAGACCTTTCCAACCTTTTACTCAAGGAAAACAAGAGATTAATCGGTTAAAACCTTGAAACAAGACCAGGAGTTTTAGAAGGGCATGTGTCTTTTGCGTCATCTATTGTTCCTGCGATATAAATCTAGGTCGAATCCATGTAATGTCACGTACTCGGACTCACGTTGTTGGCATAACCTATCCTTCCTGTCACTTCCCGTTCTCCAGGATAGGGATCGTAAATTTGAAATAAATAACCATATAGCTCCATGCTCTATATAATCTAAGGCGGTAGACTTCTGTTTAGATAAAGCATTATCACACCCAGACTCTAAGTTGGCAGACTTCTATTTAGATAAATCATTACCACACCCATACTCTAAGGAGGTAGACTTCTGTTTAGATAAAGCATTACCACACCCAGACTCTAAGGAGGTAGACTTCTGTTTAGATAAAACATTACCACACCCAGATGCTTAGGAGGTAGACTTCTATTTAGATAAATCATTACCACACCCATACTATACGGCGGTCGACTTCTGTTTAGATAAAGCATTACCACCCCCATACTATACGGCGGTAGACTTCTGTTTAGATAAATCATTACCACACCCATACTATACGGCGGTCGACTTCTGATTAGATAAAGCATTACCACACCCAGACTCTAAGAAGGTAAACTTCTGTTTAGATAAAGCATTACCACACCTATACTATACGGCGGTAGACTTCTGCTTAGATAAAGCATTACCACACCCATACTATACGGCAGTAGACTTCTGTTTAGATAAAGCATTACCCCACCCATCCTATACGGCGGTCGACTTCTGTTTAGATAAACCATTACCACACCCAGACTCTAAGGAGGTAGACTTCTGTTTAGATAAATCATTAACACACCCATACTATACGGCGGTCGACTTCCGTTTAGATAAAGCATTACCACACCCAGACTATAAGGAGGTAGACTTCTGTTTAGATAAAGAATTTCCACACCCATACTATACGGCGGTAGACTTCTGTTTAGATAAAGAATTACCACACCCAGACTCTAAGGAGGGAGACTTCTGTTTAGATAAAGCATTACCACCCCCAGACTCTAAGGAGGTAGACTTCTGTTTAGATAAATCATTACCACACCCAGACTCTAAGAAGGTAGACTTCTGTTTAGATAAAGCATTACTACCCCCATACTATACGGCGGTCGACTTCTGTTTAGTTAAAGCATTACCACACCCAGACTCTAAGGAGGTAGACTTCTATTTAGATAAATCATTACCACACCCATACTATACGGCGGTAGACTTCTGTTTAGATAAAGAATTACCACACCCAGACTCTAAGGAGGTAGACTTCTGTTTAGATAAAGCATTACCACGCCCAGACTCTAAGGAGTTAGACTTCTGTTTAGATAAAGCATTATCACACCTAAACTCTAAGGAGGTAGACTTCTGTTTAGATAAAGCATTACCACAACCAGACTCTAAGTTGGTAGACTTCTGTTTAGATAAAGCATCACCACACCCATACTATACGGCGGTCGACTTCTGTTTAGATAAAGCATTATCACACCGAGACTCTAAGGAGGTAGACTACTGTTTAGATAAATCATTACCACACCCAGACTCTAAGGAGTTAGACTTCTGTTTAGATAGATCATTACCACACCCAGACGTTCAGGAGGAAGACCACACCTCTGCTTAAATAAAGCAATACCACACCTAAACTCTATGGAGGTAGACTTCTGTTTAGATAAAGCATTACCACAACCAGACTCTAAAGAGGTAGACTTCTGTTTAGATAAATCATTACCACACCCAGACGCTAAGGAGGTAGACCCCTGTTAAGATAAAACATTACCACACCCAGATGCTTAGGAGGTAAACCTCTGTTAAATAAAACATTACCACACCCACAAGCTAAGGAGGTTGACCTCTGTTAAGATAAAACATTACCACACCCAGACGCTAAGGAGGTAGACCTCTGTATAAATAAAGCATTACCACACCCAAGCGCTAAGGTAGTAGACCTCTGTTTAAATAAAGCATTACCACAACCAGACGCTAAGGAGGTAGACCTCTGTTTAAATAAAACATAACCAGACCCAGACGCTAAGGAGGAAGACCTCTGAGTAAATAAAGCATTACCACACCCAGACGCTAAGGAGGTTGACCTCTGTTTAGATAAATCATTACCACACCCAGACGCTAAGGAGGTAGACCTCTGTTAAGATAAAACATTACCACACCCAGATGCTTAGGAGGTAAACCTCTGTTAAATAAAACATTACCACACCCACAAGCTAAGGAGGTAGACCTCTGTTAAGATAAAACATTACCACACCCAGACGCTAAGGAGGTAGACCTCTGTATAAATAAAGCATTACCACACCCAAACGCTAAGGAAGTAGACCTCTGTTTAAATAAAGCATTACCACAACCAGACGCTAAGGAGGTAGACCTCTGTTTAAATAAAACATAACCAGACCCAGACGCTAAGGAGGAAGACCTCTGAGTAAGTAAAGCATTACCACACCCAGACGCTAAGGAGGTTGACCTCTGTTTAGATAAAACATTACCACACCTAGACTTGACTGATGGCAACACCACGTAGGTGTTCCGTGTTTTGTCGTCTTTATAACAAATTCAAGTCATCCAACAGTTAAAGGCAAATCATACCAACAGCGCAAAGATTTATTTCACATGAATATTGATATTGAGGTCTAAGCAAAGAAAGTGCGATGACTGCTTATGGTTTTGCTGTTGCATATTTATGACGTCAGAGGCAAGGAAGAGTTGAGTTCCACAGATTCTTGTTTCTGCAGCCGGGTTTATTCAGATGCAAGATGAATGTATTGCTTTCCACTGTGACATTGTGACATGCTCTACACTGCTCGATAGTACAGATACTAGTGAAACTGGTCGTACTGATCATCACAAATGACAAGCATGTTTGCAAGGCAGCATTTCACATAAATAGGCAGTGATGTAAAGTTAGTATAATTAGCGGGAGAGCCCACATCACCAGACAAATATCTTAATCTTCTATACTTCTTTGATTTTCTATTTCCTGTTTCTACATTTCGCATTTATCCCTCAATAAGCCATGCCTCGCAATGACCCATCAATCCTTTATCTGGGGCACCAATTTTGTCACATAATATATATCACTGACATAAGCAACAACTAGACACATAATCTCCATTTTATACTGTCTCTAGGCTGACAGAAGAATTATAACAATTGATTTTATTCCGAAGGACTATAGGAACGAGCAAAAGGACAGTTATTTTTAAAACACCCAGCATTTATCAAAGAAAGGTTTTACAAGACTAAAATATTCACATCATCAAAACACAATGCCAGCGAGTGTAATAAATACACGTTTCGTAGTGAAAGTCAACAACAAGATTCGCGAAATCATAAGAAACTATGGTCATCACGATTCCACACATACATGAAACAGATATAACCCGGAAGTGCCAACGGTTCGTGGGCTGTGTATGACACTCATCAAATAGGTGTTGAGCGTTCTTTACATTTGGGCTTAAGAATGAAATAATGCTCACCTGGCTGTATCTTTGCATGGAATCCAAACCGTTTGCCTTTCACCAGGGCGTTGCCGTTCCAGTCGTGGGTATTCCCGACTGCCAGAGCACCAACTGTAGTAGACGTACGATGGTCGGGACCTGCTGCTCCGTTATCTTTATAACTAACCACGGAAGCAGCTGAAGAATACCTGTATGTACATCGGGAACTGATTTAGTTCACATTTTCATTAAATGTGTCGTGATTCCTCGTTAATATTGAATATCAAGTCGTTGTCTCAATATCACTTCAATAGGGGCTAATTCCCTATTATTAATATCGTGAAACTATTCTTGAATAACAATAATATTAGTCATTTAAACAATTTGATTCATGTTTTACTGTAGTTATTAATGTTATACACATCGAACGATGAAGTATTTTCGGTCAAGTCAAAGTTTTCAAACAAGGGGAAAAGACCTTTTTCTGGAAAAACAGTTACTAAAGGTTATCTGAACGAAAACTTTGCTCAACAAAACATGATCATTCAAAGTAAGATAACATTACGTGGTTTCCTTTAGAGGGCGTAGACTTGACGGAAATGGTCGAAGACTTTGCTGAGTGCGGAACAGTAATTTGTGATCTACAATTTGCCCTCTGCTCACAAAACCATATACCTAAATTCGTAGTAAGATCAAACCGCGGTACACATAACTTTGAGTGGTAATGAAAAGATTCCGTGCCATAATTAAATAAAGTCCTTACATCTTTCCCATGTTATATTGTTAACTCAGGTCACCCTCTCTAACTTTCGTGAATACCTCAGGTTACCCTCTCTAACTTACGTGAATATCTCAGGTTATCCTCTCTAATTATCTTATGTGGTTACCTCAGGTTATCCTCTCTATCAATCTTACGTGGTTAGCTCTGGTTATCCTCTCTATCTTACGTGGTTACCTAAGGTCATGCTCTCTATCTATCTTACATGGTTATCTCAGGTTATCCTCTCTATCTATCTAACGTTGTTACCTCAGGTTATCCTCTCTATCTTACGTGGTTACCTAAGGTTATCCTCTCTATCTATCTTACGTGGTTACCTCAGGTCATCCTCTCTATCTAACGTATGTGGTTACCTCGGGTCATCATCTCTATCTTACATGGTTATCTCAGGTTATCCTGCCTATCTATCCTACGTGGTTACCTTAGGTCATCCTCTCTATCTAACTTACCTGGTTACCTCAGGTTATCCTCTCTATCTAACTTACGTGGTTACCTCAGGTCATCCTATCTATCTTACCTGGTTACCTCAGGTCATCCTCTCTATCTAACTTACGTGGTTACCTCGGGTCATCCTCTCTATCTATCTTACCTGGTTACCTCAGGTAATCCTCTCTATCTACCTTACCTGGTTACCTCAGGTCATCCTCTCTATCTATCTTACGTGGTTACCCCAGGTTATCCTCTCTATCTAACTTACGTGGTTTCCTCGGGTCATCCTCTCTATCTATCTTACATGGTTACCTCAGGTCATCCTCTCTATCTATCTTACCTGGTTACATCAGGTCATCCTCTCTATCTAACTTACGTGGTTTCCTCGGGTCATCCTCTCTATCTATCTTACCTGGTTTACTCAGGTCATCCTCTCTATCTATCTTACCTGGCATCCTCAGGTCATCCTCTCTATCAATCTTAGCATCATTGTTCAATTAAATTTCCGAAAACTTGAACCGACAAACAATGACAATGAGAACAATGACAAGCAACGAGGACGGAATCGTGACGTCATGTAAATATATCACAAAATGACGTTAAATTGTTCGCACCAAAGTTTTGCATTTGTCAATTCAATCAGTAGATAACAAACGATGACTTCAAATCAAGTTAAAGCGTTAACGATAATCACCGTGTGTAATACTTAACCCTGTACTAATGACAATAATCATCGTGTGTAATACCTAACCCTGTATCATATAACGATAATCACCGTGTGTAATACTTAACCATGTATTATATAACGATACTCACCGTGTGTAATACTTAACCCTGTATTATATGACGATAATCACCGTGTGTAATATTTAACCCTGTATTATAAGACCTGCGTCACGGGAGTAATATTCACCGTGTAGTTTATACATACCAGCCGATGATATCGCCCGGTTCGACGGGGATTCGATTGGTCGATGCAAATGTTGCCGTGTTCGTCGTACCGGTAGCTGAAATTGAAACGGTCGTAACCGTGTTGGGGTTGTTCAGAGCAACAGCAAAATAATTTGTGTTAATGCAACAACATTCTGCGTGTAATAAACTTCTTATTTCATATAAGGAAATAAAATTGAGTATATTGTGTATATGAACATGCCTCAAGTAGGCTTTAGCCGAATAAAATGAATTCGTTTGCTTTTCATACATGTTTGTTCATTTTCATATTGTTTATGTCTTCTTTGACGTCGCAATATTGCTGGCTCATATATTCTTGTGTAATGCAACTCTTCATAATCAAGTCTTCTGAAGAACCTCCGAAGGGGCGAAAGGCCTATAGACAATGCCGCTTATTTGTCTTCCTTCTATTATGCCACATATATGTGTTTAAAACATGATGGTTGTATAGTGTGATTAATCTCGTTACTTACATGCTGGTGTATCGAGGTGTTGTCCAATTAATTCATAGACTCCTGTCGTACCAGTCTCTCTCCAAATTTGAAAACTTACGGGGTTAACACTTTTGGAAAAATACTCCCATGCGTAAACCACCCCACAGGTACAGGTGACCGCCTCGTCTGCTACCAGCAGGCTCATACCTAGGAAACAACGATACTCGTGTGTGATATACACGTAGCGGTGTGGTTGTGGTGCCATCTTACCACAATGCTACAGGTTATGTCTGAGAGCCTACATGTATTTGCCAAATGTTAGTCATTTAACTTTTGTGATGAAAGTCCATGAAATGTACACCTCGTCATTTGATCCTTAATGTCACCCAAGGCACTCATTTGACCTAACCGGAAACCCTTCTTCTGTCGTCATGCGTCGCGCATCGTCCGTAAAGTTATATCCTCTACTGTTGTTGGCATCAGAATATATACTCTAGAAGTGTACAGAAACCTGGGACGTTATAGTAACACAAACTTCCTTTAAATATGTATTGTTTGGGCCTTTTTTGGCCCCCAAATCCATCAAAATTAAAAATCTCGTTAGAACTTTCAAATGACTGTTTCTTTAATTTTGAATACCCGGGTGCTATTATGTTAACATTATATAGGTTTTCAATTATGGCTGCCATAGTAACCAGTTAATATTTGCATAAATTAATGAAATTTGAATACGCGGTAAATTTTGACAGGTTTTTACCATAGAGCGCATTCTTGAACAAACTTTATATATTTCTCCTAAAGATGTATTACAGATGCCTGCACATTATCCTTTGATTTTGAGATTGTTCAAGCATGCGCTTTACAGTTTCCAGGAGAAAAAACTACGCAAAATATGACAAAATACACTGAGTATTCTTTTTTTTCTAATTTATGCAAATTTGACCATGGCAACAATAATTAGAAATACAAATAAATATCTTCATGTCACTGTTTGGGAAGTATTTAAAATAAAAGAAACAGTCTTTTCAAAGTTCATTTAAAGGTTTTGAATTTTGATGCATTTGGGGGCCAAAACACGCCCAAACCATACGTAGTCCTTTGCTGGTGGATTTTCACTAATATTCCATTAAATGGGCATTTATTAGGATTTATAATCAAGAAAGGGCTGAACCCCAGAATTCGTAACAACACTTGTTGAGACTAACGTATTATGAGAGGGCATTTCATTGACCACTTCACAGGCGTTTAATCGGGCAATTGTAACGGTAGTGACAGGCGCCTGTCATACTATGTCAGCACCACATTGTAACGGTAGTTACAGGCGCATGTCATACTATGTCAGCACCACATTGTATAATGACCACGAACACCTGTTTGAAATTAGTTTGACTTTTTAATTTAAGTTCCGTAGAAATCATGCTATGCAATAAAGTATAATGTCTTCTCAGGAATATCGAGGTTTCCGTAAAGCACAGACTCAGTTCACATCCAGTGGCACTTGCTCCATAGGTAGTGATGCCTAAATTGCAGTTATCTTGTTACTTGCCGTGGTTGGTTATGAGTATACATGGTGTCAGAAGAAATCATAAAATGCGATAAACTAAGTTGAACTTACCTGTTGCTCCAAAGTCTGATTGCCATCTAGTAGAAGGAGTAGTTTCACCAACTATAGTCGTACCAGCTGGGCAGTCAGCACCTGGTACATATACCCAAATCAATTTCAATACAATGTATTTGAACATATTTGTTTTATAGTAATTTGAAAGCAAATGCCAATATATGCAATAAACATAGAAGATTACATTATCGATATCCAGGGGTTACGCTCACTTTCGCTCTCTACACCCCTTGAATATGTCATAGCAAAATTGAGGGCACGAAGATAGCTGTTTGATTGGTGTCAGGTAAAACAAAAATGACCAATCGCTAGGCTGAGTTCTGTCCTTTGATGATTACAAAGGAGAGACACCCGACTTCAAAGCCTGTCAATATTACCGTTACGTGACCGCGAGATTCTTTTGATGTACATCAAAGGATCGAACCAGTATTCTTGTCTCATCAACAAGGTGGTGCACACTGAGCCTTCAACGCTTCGACATATTCCAGGGGTGCAAAGAGCGAACGTGAGCGTAACTGTAATTTTTTTATAAAAAGAAAAAGAACAATTCAGCAGCTTTTGTTACAATACACATTCAAAGGAACCAGTGTTATGTCTGGACACTTGAGGTACAAAGGCCAAGCTCAATGAGTCATTACAGAAGCAGACATTAGACTACAAAAAACACGCAAACCACCTAGTACCATTAACTTATATAACAAAGCAAACTGAGACAACATCAGGAAAGACCCCACTAATCTAAATAACAACTTTCAGGACCTAGAACATCCAACCAAAGAAGACCTTTGGGCAAGTTTCAAAACAACACTCCACACATCTACAGAAAAAAAGCATTCCAATAGAATCACTAACATACAAACACAGACTACCCTGGATGAACAACTCACCTCGCCGCCTCACAAACAAGTCTAAACGCCTCCACCACAAATCAAGGACAAATCACAAACTTATCCACACATACAAAACAGTAAAAGCTAAAGTGCGAAAACAAACACGCAATGCATACCTATAATACATTGAGAAGATGATCACAGACCTACCAATAGGCGAACCTGAAGACCCCAACACAAGGAACAAATACAACCCAAAAAAAAAACTTCTCTTTCATTAAAACCACAAAAAAGAGACACAGACATCATAGCACTACGTAAAAACGGCCACCTCACAACAGACCCAGAAACAAAGGTAAACACACTAAATGAACAGTTCCAAGACGCCTTAACACCAGAACAAAACACAACAATACCTGACAAAGAAATATCACCTCATTCACCCATGCCAGATATACGCATTACATGCCAAGAAGTCGACAAACTACTAAATAACATTAACCCACACAAAGCAACAGGCCCAGACCATATACACGGCAGAATATTAAAAGAACTCAAGGATATCACAGCAACTATACTAACAAAAATATTCCAAACATCACTTAGTACAGGAACATTACCCAAGGACTGGAAACATGCCAACGTAAACCCCATATACAAAAAAGGAGACAAATACAACCCAAATACAACCCAATATCACTCACATGCATCGCATGCAAACTCCTAGAACACATCATCACAAACTATGAAACACTTAGAAGACAACAAAATACTGCACGACCTACAACATGGCTTCCGCACATCAAGATCTTGCGAAACACAACTCATTACATTCATACAAGACCTCGCACAGAACCACAACAACAACAAACAAACAGACATTATCATAATGGATTTTGCCAAAGCCTTCGACAAAGTCCCACACAAACACCTACAGTACAAGCTAAACTATTACGGCATCACCGGAACCACAATAACATGGATAACAGACCTCCTATCACAACGCACTCAAACAGTAGTACTTGAGGGCAAACACTCCGACAAAATCCCATTAACATCTGGAGTGCCCCACGGAACCTGTTTGGGACCAGTCCTCTTCCTCATATACATCTACGACTTCCCCGAATACATATCACACAGTACACTAAGACTTATCGCAGATGACAGCATACTATACAAAACAATCAACAACAAAGACGACACGTCAAAACTACAAGCAGATTTAGATGCAGCCAGTAAAATGGGAAGAGGCCTGGCTCATGAAATTCCATCCGGACAAATGCACCATACTCACTATATCACCAAAACGCACACAAATTAAACACCAATACACACTCCATGACCATACACTAGAATATGTAACTTCAAACAAATATCTAGGCATCACACTTCAAAACAACTTAAAATGGGACAAACACATTAACGACATCACATCAATTGCAAATAAATCACTAGGCTTTCTGAAACGCAACCTGAAAATAAATTCACCACACATAAAAGAACATGCAAACAAGGCCATTTTAAGACCAAAACTCGAAAACTGCTCTTCAGTTTGGGACCCACATTATACAAATAACATAAACCAATTAGAAAAAGTACAATGAAGAGCAGCATGATATGTCCTAAACAAATACCATAACACAAGCTCAGTCACAGACATGTTATACAACTTGCAATGGCCAACACTACACACACGCAGAACAAGAACACGTATTATTCTTCTCTACAAAATAATACACCAACAAGTAACAATACACACTAACAATCTCATCCCGGCAGACACCAGAACACGTCAAGGACACGACCGTAGTTACAGACATATCTACACATCCAAAGACAAATACAGACACTCATTCTTTCCATATACCATAATACAATGGAACCTCCTACCCACAACAATAATTGAATCAAATACACTAGCAGAATTCAGGGCATGCACCACATACAACATAATTGAACATATACAAAAAATACAACATACCTAACACTCACTCACTGCTTTTAACCTGTTTTTATCCTATAGCAAAAAAAAAAAAAAAAAAAAAAAAAAAAAAAAAAAAAAACACTTTACGCACAATAGCATAACGACCCTACTTCCGTAATCGTCGGTATCGACGGAGGAAGTCATTCAAATGAAGATGAAAAAAGAGTCTAAATGTTCACGGTTCAGAATATAGGCACGTCTGCTGAAAATTAGTCCATGTTTTGTGTGAAAAATACATCCATGGGGAAAAAAGACAAAAAAAAAACAATATTGCTGCAATAGAATATGGTCATCTTGTAATTAATGGTTGTTATTTTGTTCTAATATTTTCCTGAATTGGTATCTTTGACCAATCATAGCACAAAAACGAACACACATATATATATTTCTCTTACCCTGGACAGGGATATCCACCATTTTACTGGTGTGAGATTTTCTTATCTCACCCTAGGGTTGAGACAAGCTACACGTGTTCTCTGCACGTTCTCAGCAATTGTATGACGTCATAGCAACAATACCATGACGTCACGGCAACAATGCAATGACGTCACGTCGACAATTAAACCGCATCACATCAACATTGTCTTGCATTGATGCAACGTCTATATAAAATACATAAGAGGGTAAACAGGGTAAGAGAAAATAATCATTCACCCCTTGGGAGTGATACAGGGTGATCTCAACCCTCGGGGTAAGATTCTTAAGCTGTCAAACACTCGGCAAGCCTCGTGTTTGACAACTTAAGAATCTTACCCCTCGTGTTGAGATTACCCTGTCTCACCCACAAGGGGATAAAAGATTCTATTAATGTATTATAAAAGCAGAAAAATGATCCTTACGAACGAAGAAATAATATATAAAGAAAATTCTCAACAACAAGTCTTTAGAACTTTCGTATTTTTATCTCTTCTAGGGGATTCTTCAGACACAATTCAAAAATGATTCAAAAATAATTCAAAACGTTCCACTGAATGTGTATTGTAACAAAAGCTGACGTTTTCTGATAGATAAACGTGATATTGACAATTTATATGTGATTCTACGTGAGTTGTTTTGTTTTGACCATTTCCAGAACAAATCTCTTCTAGAAGTCTGAAGAATCTCCTAAACAGTACTAAAGACTCGTTGTAGAGATTTTTTCTTTATATATTATATATCATATATATTTAATGGATGAGGAGATAGATTACCTCACAAATTTTTCGTTTCGGACGAGTTATTTTTATGGACTTCCTAAGATACATGAGAGTAAAATAATGTCCAATGCTACTACGGATCAGAATTCAGAATACGTTTGAATATTTTGTCCAGATTATTTTCTTGGTTTCATCTTGAAACCACTATGTCCAACTGTTAAAAGTTTCATACAGGACGATTTTGACTTTTTATCCCGTTTACCAGAGACAGTGACAATTGGTTCCAAATTGGTCTCTTTTGATGTAGTTGGCCTTTATACTAATATACCACATGATTAAGGTATAACGGCTGTAAAACATTGGTTACAGAGATATCGGGACTATGTCGACGGAAGATTAATAAAGAATTTATAATAAGCGCTCTCAATATTGTTCTAGAAAGAAACACTTTTTTATTTCAATGGTAACCATTATCAGCAACGTAAGGGTACGGCAACGGTTCATAAAGTGGCCCCTACTTATGCTACTTTGGTGTTAGGATATTTAGAAGGGATTATTTATGACAAAATAGAACAGAGTTCAGATAAGGATTTTCTGATGTTTTAAAAAACGAGGGTTTTTTTGAGATTTTTAGATGATGGTCTTATCATCTGGCCCGCGGACAAGAATGTCTCTGATTTGCATTCAGAGTTAAATTCCTTACACTCGGATATTCCGTATAATATGGAAGAAAGTGATGATAAACTTCCTTTTCTAGATGTTTTGGTAGGATTAACAAACGGACACATTTCCACAGATTTGTATTGCAAACCAATAGATTCCCAGAATTATCTTTGCTTTCATTCCAGTCACACCAAACATACCAAAGTTTACATACCATTTTGTTTGGTATCTAGATTAGTTACCATAGTCAGTGATAAATGTAAGTTAGAGGAGCGATTAAATAATTTAGAAGATAATCTTAGAAAACAATGCTATCCAGACGAAATTATATCTAACGGTATTCAAAGAGCTAAAGAGAAGTGTCCGATTTCAGTTAACGATCCAAATAGTGCCAAGACAAGTCAAAAGGATATACCATTTGTTACAACATTGAACCCTAAAACTTTTAACATGTTTCCAATTATG